GTCCCTGTTTGTGAGGTGACCATGCTCATCAAGTAACAGGCCAATGTTATTTCTGGCCTGCCTTTTGCTATTTACATATTTTAAAAAGCCCTTTTTATTGTCCCTCAAAGTACTGGCCAGCTTCAGCTCTAATCGAGCTTTGGCCACGCGTATTTCCTCCCTACAGTGGCGAACAGCCTCTCTGTAGTCCTTCTGTGTCGCCTGACCTTGCTTCCACTGGCCATACACTTTCTTTTTTTGCCTTAGTTCTAGAAGAAGATCCCAACTCAGCCAAGCCGGCCTTCTACCTCGCCTGCTTGACTTCCGACATTTTGGAATTTCCTGCTCCTGTGCTCTTAGGAGGTGGTACTTAAAAAATGACCAGCACTGATGGGCCCCAGCACCTTCAAAAGCTTTTTCCCAGAGGACCTAAGTAGTTCCCTGAGCAGCCTGAAGTCAGCTCTCCTCATATGCAGAGTTGAGGTCTTGCTGGCAGTTTTCCTCCTGTTACCCTAACTCATCAGTGTCATCATCCTGATTGGGTGGCCTATAGTAGACTCCCACAACGACATCTGCTTTATTTGTCTGTCCCTTAATCCTTACCCAGAGGCTCTCAACTGTGCCATTGCCAACTGCTAGCTCCATGCATTCCAGCCCCTCTACTACATACAATGCCACCCTCCTGCCTCACCTGCCCTGCCTATCCCTCCTGAAGAGCCTGTAACCATCCGTCATGGCACACCATTCACAGGACTCATCCCACCAGGTTTCATTTATGCCTGTGATGTCATATCTCTGGGACTGGGCCCAGGCACCTAGTTCGTCTTGCTTGTTCCTCATGCTGCCTGCATTTGTGTAGAAACACTTCAATTGAGGTTCATTGTGCCCATTACCTTGTGGAGCAGTCTGAGGAATCTCACTAGCACGCAGCTCCTCGAACTTTGGTGTGCCATCCCGTTGCTTGTCAGTGACTAGGCTGGTCCTTTTTCCCCTTCCAATGTAGTTTAAAGCTCTATCAATCAGCCCTGCTAGCTCCTGAGCAATGTGACAAGAAAGGATCCAGTAAGGAACACATCAATGAAAAAGTGCTCTCTGTAGCAAAACATAACTTCAACACTCAAGTTAAAAATACACCTGTTGAGCAGACTGATTCTGGAGTTCATGTGGCACGGGGATGGTATGTATCTCACAGAGCCCTCTCTCATTTTATGTCAATGCTAGCTGCTGGTCCTCAGTGGGAAACCGCCAAGTGGGGTTGCAGCAGCTCTCCATTGGAACCAACTGCGACAGGATCGGGACTATCCAGCACGAGTTCCTGCATGCCCTGGGATTCTGGCATGAGCAGTCACGGTCTGACCGGGATGACTACGTGACCATCGTCTGGGACAGGATTCAGTCTGGTCAGTTACTCCCCAGCTTTTCCTTTCAGACTCTGGTGTTAGGAGCTTTAGCTGTGGAATGTCCCTTCCAGCCATCCTTTGGTGGCCACACTATTGTCTCACCTGGACTTAGTTTTCAAAGCCAGCGTATCAATAAATCAAATATCAAGTGACATCTATTTGGGACAGAAAGCTTGGTGTGTTGTTGCTGTGGTTATTCCTTGCGCCACAGCAGTTCCCAGAGCCCTAAGCAGAGATCTGAGTCCTGTTATGCTACATGTAGAAAGGCTCTACCAAGGCATCTGGAAAGGCTGGATCAATGGGTTGAGGCCAGCTGTATGAGGTTCAACAAGGCTCAGTGCCGGGTCCTGCACTTGGGTCACAACAACCCCATGCAGCGCTACAGGCTGGGGGAAGAGTGGCTGGAGAGCTGCCTGGTGGAAAAGGACCTGAGGGTGCTGGTCAACAGCTGGCTGAATATGAGCCAGCAGTGTGCCCAGGTGGCCAAGAAGGCTTGTATCAGAACATCCTGGCTTGTATCAGAGCTAGTGTGGCCAGCAGGACTAGGGAAGTGATCGTCCCCCTGTACTCGGCACTGGTGAGGCTGCACCTCGAGTACTGTGTTCAGTTTTGGGCCCCTCACTCCAAGAAGGACATGGAGGTGCTGGACCGTGTCCAGAGAAGGGCAATGAAGCTGGTGAAGGGTCTAGAGCACATGTCTTATGAGGAATGGCTGAGGGAACTGGGGTTGTTTAGTCTGGAGAAGAGGAGGCTGAGGGGAGACCTTATCGCTCTCTACAACTACTTGAAAGGAGGTTGTAGCGAGGTGGGGGTTGGTCTCTTCTGCCAAGTAGCAAGCGATAGGATGAGAGGAAATGGCCTCAAGTTGCACCAGGGGAGGTTTAGATTGGATATTAGGAAAAACTTCTTCACCAAAAGGTTAGTCAGGCATTGGACCAGGCTGCCCAAGGAAGTGGTTGAATCCACTGAAAAACCCAGTGCAACCAAAGCCAGTAGAAAATCTCCAGCAAAAACACTGGTCATCCTCTTTCTCCCTGCCCCCCTACACCCGGTGCATGCAGAGAGGGTGTAAAGAAAGGAGTAACCCCTTTCAGTGTCTGCATCACATGAGCGGTTACTTTGGTGATACAGCTTGTGAATGTAAGCGTTGGCATATTAGGCACAAGCCTGACAGCCAGTATGGGGTTCCTTGGGACTCTGCTCGGTCTCTGCCTCTTCAGCTTGCTGTCATCCCCTGTGACTTTCAGGCAGTTCAAAAGCAAAGTTATATACACAGACCTGATGCTTTCCTAACACAGGTACATGCAGAAGACTGAACAAACAGATAATGATTAAATCTAATGCATTTTTATTTAGTCGTGATCAATAGTCGAGTGCATACGCAAGTTTATATTACAGAAAATAACTTAGATTTTGTTATTTGATTTCCATTATATTTTGCTGACTCTTTTAATGACAAGCTGCACTATTGTTAGCTGTTTGAAACTGCTGCAGCTTTTTTACATTGACCAGAATATAATTACTGTATTTTGACTAATTTAAAACATTTAACACTTTACCTTCCATTGGGTAGTTAGTAATGTTTTTTTGCTCATACTCCAGAAAATATCTGAATATCTGTGAAGTTAAATTCTAGAAGCTTACCTGATGACAACTCTAACTTGTTTATTGTGAGCTAAAATGACCAGCGATTAAACATCAGAGAATACAGATTAGAAACAGGGAGGCATTACAGTTACAAATTGCATTAATTTGAGTACTGAAAGAGTACCTCCACTTTTGGGTATCACAAGCCCATCAAAGTTTACAGGTAGTTTCACGGGGAAAAGATGGGTAGCAAAAAGCTTGCCTTCATCCAGGAGAAGTCATCATGTTATGTTCCACTGGCTGAAAGAGGAAAGTAAATAAATCTAGTCTAGAAATAAAATAGTTTTACAGAGTAAGTACAAGTAAATGACTACAAAAAAATACTTGGGGATCTGATGGATTCCCTGTCACTTTAAGTCTGTACATCAAAACTTGAACTTGGTCCTCTTGGGCAACAAACAATCTTTCCTTTTATTTTTCCCATTTAGGTAAAGACCATAATTTCCAAAAATATGATGATAAAACATCAGACTCCCTGAATGTTCCCTATGACTATACTTCTGTGATGCACTATAGCCAAAATGCATTCAGGAAAGGAACTGAACCCACCATCGTCACTAACATACCAGACTTCACGGATGTAATAGGACAGCGAATGGATTTCAGTGATTATGATCTCCAGAAGCTGAACCGGCTGTACAATTGCTGTAAGTTTCTCCATTTCTTTTAAATTTTTTGCTTCTGGCATTTGAAAGAAATTAAGGTGATACATACATGCTGGACTCATTCAGGCACAAGTGAAAGAGATGCTAACATGTTTGGAGAAGTGAGTTGTGTTAAAAACACCAGAAATAATGGTGTAGCTAGAAATAACATAGCCCTCCTGCAGAAACACTGCTGTGTAGCAGAGTTTTCTGTGCAATTTTATGTGACCTTTAGTTAAAAACCAGCCTCACTCAGCAGCTGATTTTTGTTCACCTCTTGGGTGGCTGTTTAAAATGTGTGCTACTGCACAAAGCTTTTTATTTTCTCCCCCATTATTCCGCAGCTGTTGCTCAGACACTGTACAGAAACTATCTTTGCTGTGGCTATCATACCTACTCCACTCTCATGCAATCTGTGACACAGAGTGTGTGTTCATGCCAATAGGGTGCAGATGCTGTTATGAAGAAAATGCAAGCTTTTAAAATTTTTATTTTTAGTTTCAAACCCAGTCTCTTAGAAAAGTGGTCCGGAGAGTTATTTTGCTCATGTGGGATTTATTTTAGAAAGTTGAGTGAAAGTAAGAGACAGAGAAATATAGATAATTCTGTTACCAAACTGGAATAAAATTCTGTAATTGTGACTACATCAAATGTGCCCTGGCACTCAGATGAAAACTTTAACTTCACTGCCTCAGTATCCCAAGTAGTGAGTACTGGTTTACAATTATATTTTAAGCCTCATTCTACAGATACCTTAAATAAATATCAAACTGTTTTATTAAAACAGTGCATTTTTTGAGCATACAATTCTGATGAAAATATTTCTGTTCATGTGGGTCTAAACTGAACACACATTTACATGCAGCCTTAGCTTCCAGCACTTGGCACACAGTCAATTAGGTCTTACAGAAGTGCTTACAGCTAAGGAAGTTTTTAACAGTGGATGGGGTCCTTCTTCCTCTCCATTAATCTTATATCCTTTCCATCATTCTCGTGCATTATATAAACACTTTATGACATTTTAACTTTATTGTTAACCCATAGGCACATTCCCAAGTGAAATAAGCCCCAGTCATGTTTAAATTAGTGACAAAACTGCCACCACCCTCAGTGCGATCAAGATCTGCCCTGCTCCCCGCTCTGTCCCTTGGCTTCGTATAGTGTGCATGATATTTGCAGAGCCATAAGTGGTCTTCAGATCATCCACCATTTGCCTAAGTGGCCCCGGTGCCAGGGAGGACAGGTGCTTCGCAGGTCCCAGCCCTCACCCACCCAGCTGCTAGACCGATCCTTTCAGGTTAGAGGGAAGACTGAGAATGCCAAACACGGTTTGGGTGGCAGATATCCTCCCAGAGGAATCAAAAGATTACTTCTGTTGCTGAACATGATTTAAGGAAAAGTTTAAGCTGAATCTCTGCTAAAGGCCTGTGTGGTTAGGAAATTGCATTAAAAATGGGAAACTTGGTTCTTAAATTGGAAAAAAACAACCCAAGCATAAGAAATCCTGACTGATATTTTAGTGCTGTTCTGATCTCTTCTTCAGGCCGTATGATAACAGTATATTTTAGTCTGCTTTCCCCTTCTAGCATATTACTTAACAGAACTGACCATGAGGTTCCCCTCAGCCACTGGAAGTTAGGACTCAGCATTCATCCCTCATATATTTTCTTCCAAGTCCAGCCTTTCACTACATACCAAGAAAGTATCTGGCTTTTGGTGCAGATGGAGTTCAAAACCTGCCTCAAATAGTTCCCCCTTCCCCTATTTCATTAATTAATCTAAGAAATACATTGTAAGCTCTTGGGTCTTGCTTTTCTCTCTTCCTCTCGTCCAGGTCCCCACTCCATGCCTGCCAGCACTTTCTAATTAAGGTAGTTAGGCTACTGCTTTCCTGTTTGGGCAAATTGAGTTCATAATTTGTTTTGTGTTTTGATTTCAAAGAGTTCTTTCATCTAATAATTCTCCATTCTTGCTGACACCCTAGCTGTTTGTTTTGTTTTTTTTTTAATTTCTCCAGCAGTCAATATAAAACATTTACTGTGAAGATATTTCTTGGTTTTTGCAACATCATACCAATACTGTATCTTAAAAGGTATCAGTCATACAACACTTCTGATTGCCTTGCAACCTCTAGAGGATTGTTAGCTTTCTATGAGGACAGTACAAAATATCTCAGCAGTACAGCTGATCTGGCAGCAGTTCATACTAAAGCGCTTCCCTGAGCTACAGCCTAAAAGTGAAGTATTTGGTGTGCAATTGAAGTTGATTTTTGCGATACTGAAGGCTCTTTTTGTGGTACAACGAAACCTTTAAACCTGCCGGAATATTTTATATGCAGTTTGAAAAGCAGTAATCATGAAGCATTTTATTAATTTAGTTGTTTTCGAATCATGGCTGGTGTTACACAGAACTCAGACATGGTACAATGAGAAACAAATCTAAGAATAAGGCTAAACCTGGACTGTGTCTTCCCTCACCCATCCAGGGTTTGCTTTAGACAGAGAAAACATTACGTACAGTGTTTTCCCTTTCCTATTCAACTGCGCAGTCTTCCTTCACTTAATTTTTCACTTGTTATATGCAAGATATCTTAAAAATATTTATGAGATATCCTCTGGTCCCAAATGTACCTTTGCCAAATGTTTTTTCAATTCATTTTGAAAATCGAGGTTTGCCCATTGCAATGAAATACCTTCTGCTCTACTATGTTGAAAGTAAGCACTCTAGCTGATAAATTAGTGAACCTTTCTCAAAATCTGTGGCCATGTGTCAACTGGCTGAGAGACAGCAAAGGAATGAATGGGAAGTCCTCAGTCCTTTTGGCTGTGTGGTGGGTTGGGGCTGGTATTAGTGTTCCTTGTATAAATAAAAGATGTGATATGATAATTAGCTGGCACCCTCCTGTGCTTGCTAAGTGTCCAGAGTGGTCCTGAGACATCTCATTAATTGCAGTGTTAATCACCAAATGCTTTGAGTTCCTGAAGGTTGTACCTATGAATGTTGATGGTATGTGAAGCCACTGATAATTTTATGTTTTGCATTTATTAGTCTTTCTCTGCTCTTGGCTTTGGACATTGAGAATTAAAATGTATGTTGTGTAACAGACATTCATGACTTTTTTCTTTTTTTAAATGTTTATAGCCTCCTCCCTAAGTTTCATGGATACGTGCAGTTTTGAGCTTGAAAATATTTGTGGCATGATTCAAAGTTCAGATGATAACAGCGATTGGCAGCGTTTGTCTCAGGTTCCTGCTGGGCCAAATACTGATCACACTAATATGGGAGAATGCAAAGGTATGAGAAGTCTGTTCTTATCTCTCTGGGAAGTATCTTCTTCAGAGGCATGTGAGTTGACTTTGATCTTGACCTTGTTCTCTGTTTATTTGTTGAAAAATTACAGTTTATTTTTTAACTATGCAAATTAAATCTACATACTTAAGGGCATCATGTGATACATTTGCTTTTCTGCTTATTTGAGAACATTGAATGTTCTTACCTCTTTTGATCTGTTTTCTAGTCTTAGTGTCACATCCTGACATGAGAACTACATAAAATGTTCTGACCTATGGTACAGGCACACCAGAAAGACTGCTGCTGTTCTGAATAATTGTTCAGTAAGTCTTTGGAAAGAACTAGGATTTAGAAATTATGTATATTATCAGGGCTCAGGTGAACTATTAATTGAGAATATAGCCAGTTGTTTCTGAATCTGTCAGAGAAAACTTCATGAGTTCAGGAGCTTAAACCAGTCCTACAGAGAGTCAACTGTGAGTTACTGGCACTGGGTGAAGAGTAAAAGCCCATGCTTTTGAGTACAAATTGCTAGAGGCAGCCAAATGAGAAAAAAAGCTGCAAGGAGAACAGTTCTGCTTCTGGAGAATGTGAACAGGTAACGGTCCTCAGTCTGAGGATTTGTACAGGATCTGCTTGACCCTGACTTGACCATGTCTTCTAGCTTTGTTACGATACAGTGTTAAGAATACCAGTGTGCCAGGAAAATTTTGTTTCCTCTCTCTTCTACCATTCATTTCTCATTTACTTTTGACAGATTCTGGCTACTTCATGCATTTTAACACCAGCGCTGGAGCACAGGGAAGCACAGCTATCCTGGAGAGCCGAATTCTGTATCCCAAAAGGGGCTTTCAATGCTTACAATTCTATTTCTATAACAGCGGTCATGAAAGCGACCATTTGTATGTTTTGGTCAGGGAGTATACTTCAGCCCATCCAAATGGTACTTTGAGACTCATTGAAGAGATAAAAGGTATGGAATAAATTTGCATTTTGGTTTAATCTATACTCAATTTCCTTTTCAAAGTACTGGCGGAAAATATTGTAGGAAAGTGACTCATCTCCTAGCATTATTCTTTGGCTTCTCTAACTATGTAATTGATTCTCTGCTGGTAAAATTGTACTTGATGGATCCTCAGTCAGCTGTTTTCCTATAATATAATCAATTATCACAAATTGCAAACTCTTGTGTTATCAAGATAGTTTTCTCACCAAAATAGCTAAAATTCCATGAACAGTTATTTTAACTGTTCTAGAATTGCTGGTATCAATAGCAACAAATGAATCTGGTCATTAGAGTAAATTACAATGAATAAGAAAGTAATAATAAAGAAATGGAAAGTATAAGTGTGCTGATATATCTAACATAACAGTTTTAAAAAGATAAATAAAATTTAACTTACTTTTTAAACAAGGTTTGAAATGACTTAATGGAAATATATGGGCAGCAGATCATGATTTGAGTTGAAGAAAATTAAGTTCTTGTGATTTTAGGAGCCTTTGGCCTACAGAATGAGCAACTGAGGTCAGATAATGGACAAGAGATCTTTAAGCTACAATTGCCAAAGTCACCTTATGATTAAATTACTTCCTCAAATATTTAACTATTACTTCGTCTCCATTACAGCTACAATTAGTTCAGTCTTCTGGTTACATAAGGGACTGCGCAAGTTCTTTTACAAAATAGGTATCAAGTCCACTTCTTCTGCCTCTTTTTGTCCCTTTAGGCTCATGCCTGTTTCTCTTTTCTTTTTTCCACTTTTTTCTTCACGCTGATGCTTTCATCATCCCTGTGTGCCATCAGGAATCATGTAAGTGAATATACGTGTCAGGGCTGCTAAGGCAGATGTAAATTTCAGATTAGTTTAAGCCTTCCAAGTTCTTTTAAACCCTACTTTGAAGCGAAGATTAATTTCTCCACAAATACTTTTGCATGTATATTAGGTCCCACCTCCCATTCCTTCTTTCTCAAGTCCGTAATTTCCTTTTAAGTCTCTGATCTGATGTGTGTGCCCAAATGGGCACCCTACTTTGACAATCTCTGGTAAAACTTTCAGGAATGGTTTAAGATCATTTCTCCCCCAAGCTGTCTCACTTCTCTCATGTGAGAAGTTCCCCTCACCAGCACAGAGTCAACAGACTGGCAGAAGCACCGACACTACAGCCCTTTCCAGCCATCATCTGGCATCCTGGCTGAGCTGCTCATGGGTTTGCACTGAACCACCATGCTTGAGAAGCTGAGGGACAAGCCCTGAACCCTTTCTGCTGGTCTGCGCCTGCTGTATCTGCCTTCAGCTGGGAGCAAGGGAGGCTGTGGGAGTGGGACATTTTACGGCACAGTAGCTGGTCTGCTCATTGAACACGAGTCAGAAAGCCCAGTCTTGCCTATAATCTGTGCAGTTCAAAAAAACTTTAGTTAATGCAGAAGGCAATTTAATGGAAAATAGTGGGGTGCTTTTGTTCTTGTTTCTAATTATAATGGTAGTGAAAAATGGCACGAAATTAAGACTCATATCTGGGATCCATTGTGTTGTGTTTAGAATTGTTAGAAAAGTGATGCATGAGTTCTGTACCTGGGATTGGCACTGCCTATTCTGTAAATGCAGCCCAAAGTCTGATCTGTGCAGGCGAACAAAAACCAGACAGCAAAAGAAACTGTTTTGCTGTACATACTATTAACAATGGACGTCCTGCTTTCACTTGCCTTACAACACCCCTGTGCAGAGGTCTTTGCTTTTGTGTACAATGCTCTTGGAGTCAAGTGGAATTTGCTAGTGCAGGCACTTTTGGAGGCAGCATCAGATTCGCAGTGAAGTTTTATCACATGAAGTAGGTTTTGCAAATGACTGGCTTTAATCTGAACTTAGTACCATTAATCATTTGATGAGGGAATAGTGCTTCTGCATAGGCAAACTTCCAACAAGCCATTTAAATATACAAAAATGACTGAATGAACAAATCTTGTAGTTCTAGGCTCCGAGAATCGTCTGTAGCATTTTTTGATGAGACATGTTGTTATTCAGTTATTTGAATATACTTTGCTCCAATTTTTTTTCTTTTTAATCATACAGGTGACAACCATCTTTGTGCATTTAATTATCACATTCATACTAATTTAATGCAACGTTCTTTAAAAATATAAAAGAAAAAGCAGTCTTAAAAACCACTAACACTGTTTTCACTCAAATTAAAGAGCTGCTACGCATATTAAATCTGTTGAAAAACTGAATTGAGAAAATATGATCTTGCACTGAAAATGTAACATCTACAGGAGAAATATATCATCACGTCAGTGCTGGTGGAACTGAGAAATTCTTACATAGCGTTGGTATAGGGTCTGTAGACCTGTGCAGTGTTTGATTGTATCACTTACTCAGAAATCCCTACCCTTGTTTTTCAGGTTCACCTGCGACTTACTGGCAGCTCCATCATGTTTCTTTGAATGTTACAAATAAATTCCGGGTTGTATTTCAAGGCGTGAGAGGAAGTGGCTTATCAAATGGAGGCCTCTCTGTTGACGACATCAATTTGTCAGAAACTCAGTGTCCCCACCACATCTGGCATATCAGAAATTTCACACATCTCCTCAACACAAGTCCAGCAGGGACAGCAGGAACAATATACAGTCCACCTTTTTACTCTAGTAAAGGATATGCTTTTCAGGTCAGCTTGAATGTAAATGGTACCACTAGTAACCCATTTAATTTAGCAATATACTTGCACTTGATTTCTGGAGCAAACGATGATCACTTGCAATGGCCCTGTGCATGGCAACAAGGTACCATGATTCTGCTTGACCAGCATCCTGATATTCGTCAACGGATGTCAAACCAAAGAAGTATAACAACTGACCCTCTGCAGTTATCAGGTTAGTTAAAATCACATGTGCTATCCAGTATATTTAAAATACAGTCAAAAGATGAGGAGTCACATTTTCTCTTTGTGTAAATTAGTGCAGTTTTTTTAGTTTCTGGAATGTTTCATTTATTTGCAGCGACAATATTATTACAGACAGGAAAAAATTGAACATACGAGTAGGTTAAGCTGGGACCCTGGATTTCAAAGTTGATTTGCATAAGAAATAGGCGGGTGATCCATTTCTAAAATTTCTTTCATATGCTCTGTGAAGATGCACTTGTATCTGCTTTAATGAGAATGGAAGTTTTCAGGAAGGCTTGGAAAGAAAAATACTGAATTAACAATACACACAGTGCATACCAGATAAAAGTGCAGCTATTAAACAAAGCCCCTCCCTCCTAGTAAAAGGTACAGTGGTGTCAGCACAAATCTCCAGATGGACAAAGTACTGATTTACATTACATAATCTGTACTCGTTCAAGGTATGAGAAGATAAGGAGCAATTGTCCACAGTAACTTGGAAAGGAGGCAGTTAAGGTAAAGATGTAACTCTAAGAAATGGTAGGAATCTCTATAGAGATATTAAAGAAAATCTCCATATTCATCATTGGATAAAGATTGGATTTAAGCCAAAATAACTTTCTGCATCAATATAAGAGTTTTGCCAAAAGAAACCAGCTCCACCACTGAATTAGTTTCCTGGGCTTTCAGACCGTAACATTAGTCAAGGAAGGAAGTCACAAAAATGTCGAATTCACAGTATTATTTTAAAAATTTTATGATTTACATTCATTTTTCTATGACACTGTCTCCACAGGAAAACAATGCAGGTAATCTAGAACGACTGAATGTCCTCCCCTGTAAATGAAAGACAACACATCACACCAGGTTCTCCATAGATGGCTGACATTTTCCCCCTGCTCTCTGCTGTTATGGCCACAGTGCTCAGCCCTTTTCCTTTCCAGACCCTGCGGACATGCAGTCTGTTTGCACTCTGCTGCTTCTCCCTTTTTTATTGATATATTGCTAATAGCCCCAGATTCCCAAGAGAAGCCTGGTAACTCCTATCCTTTCTCTAACCAGCAGGGGTGTTGGAGCAGGCACTTTCTTCTCCCTCTGTCAGATACTTTCATACACAATCAGGCTCAGCTTTGAGATTTAGAACAGGGTTTGATGGAGCAGACATCAGTGGCCTGTGACCATTCAGGTTGTTCAAGTACCCTCTGCCTTACATGCACATCAAGAGATGCTCTTTTTTGAGAAGCACTGAATTAATTCACTTTACAGATGATTCATGTGCTACTCATCTTCTTGCCCACTACACTTTAAAAGAACTAAAAAGAAAATATAACAGGTTTTCAATGAGGTCTCCAATAACCTCATCTCCAGCAGGCTCTTTTCTCAATATCTCGGGCGAAACCAAGCCGTTGAGGATCTCCATTGTCTTGTGCATCTCATCAGTGTGGAATCCCAGGCAAAAAAATCTGCAAATATTGTAGGCATGTTCAGCATTGCTCCTACTCTGTGAGTTTCAGGTAATTTATTGTCTTCTCCATAGTCATAATATCCATGAGCAACTAAGCAGAAGCAGGCAAAGTAGGACGCAGTCTGTCTTGGTTGTTGAGAGAGGCCTCGGTACTACTTTGCAGCAGAGGTTATCTGAGAAGGAAGGGACCCTACTGAGAAGGAAATTCAGAGAGGTCCCACACTCGCATTCAGTTATTTTTTTTTCCAGGTTCCTCATCAATTTATTTTTGGGATAGGCCAGATAAAGTGGGATCCATAGCAACTTTCCCCAATGGAACTACATTCATGAGAGGTCCAGGAAGTGGAACGAGTGCATTCTTAACTCATCAGAGACTTAGAAGCCGCAACTTTATTAAAGATGACAGCGTTTATATTCTTTTAACAATGGAAGGTATGTAAACATAGCTGATATTCTTTACGATACAGTAAACATGGAGTGTCGTATACTTACTAAAAGTCACTAGTGCTGTAGATATAAATACAGATGATGTACTTTGCAAATGAGCAGTTTTGGAACTATGCATGTATCTAAAGTCAAATCATACCTTTGGATAAATCTGTGGATAGGTACATGCACTGTATAATTCCTTTATCTCATGTGAAGGTGTATAAAATGATGTTACTCCTCTGCAAATTATTTTGAATAGAGTACTTTGAATAAAATTGTCTGTCTCTGAAAAAAATCTAGAGGACATTTCCAAAATACGTCATGCTCCTGAAAGGTAAAAAAGACTATTTATCCATTTTACCTGTGGACAGGCTCTTTGCTCTTTATTATTAGAACTTATCATTAAGATAAGAGGAAAAATAACATGAAGTAAAGACCTTATTTCTTGTATTGTTATTGTGCAGATATATCACATCTACTATCAACTGAGCCAAGTGTTTCACCCACCTCTGTTATGAATACGTCCAGTGCCAGCACAACACCCACAACAGCCTCTGTCACCCTGACTGAAAAGCCAGAGGTTCCTGATTTCTGCCCAGACAACCCTTGTGAAAATGGTGGTGTCTGCGTTATTGTAGATAGGGAACCTGTGTGCAGGTAACTGCCTTTATTCACTCTCAAATGCAATTTTAGGATGAGTAATGAAAGTTTCTAGTAGAATAAATCTTTGTTCCTAATGAAAGGAAAGACAGACTATAGCTGATTAAGCAAATATTTCCAACTGCTACTGCGAGACTAAACTTATGACCACTTTGGGCAACAAAGCTCCTAACTTCAGCTTTTGACCATTTTCAAGTACTCTGCTTGACTCCCCTGTAAATTGTATTTTAAATGTATTTATCGTTTTCAGTAATGTATTAGTCCAGTGTTATAAAATGGACTGTGCATCTCCTCAGAATTCCCTATAGCAAAATTTATAAGAGTTAAATATAAATGCAGTTGAAACAAAATAGCATTTATATCAGTAGAAAAGATGTTTAGTACTTCGCAGGCAGGAAGCAGCATAGACATTATTTTAGAATTTGATTCAGAAATATTATGTGGAGTAAATTATGACCATGAATTACCAAAGTGTATCTGCTTGTCTTTGAAACCAGAGATGAAGGCTGAATACTAAAAAGATTGTTTGCCCTGCAAGAAAATTAATATGAACTTTTATTTAATTCTCTGTGGATACATTTATGTAACCCACCTGGCTGATCAGCATTGTTCCAGCTCTGAAACAAGCTCTAGGATGGAAGATAGTAACCTTATGTGATGCTGTGCCAGGGCAGGTAGGCTGGGGGGGTGCTGTGAGGCAAACGTCTAAAGGCTGAGAGCAACAAGAGTCAGGATGACTCATTAAGTGTTATATCTCCCCATTTAGAAACTTTTTAAAAAACAATTCTTGTGCAACCCATCAGAAGCAGGTCACAAATATGAGTAAATGTCAAGAACTTGTTCCAAGAAGACAAAAAAAAGTTGTGCTGAACGTTATGCCTGATTTCGAAATTATGGAAAGAAAACTTTTACTCTCTGACATCTCTGGACTATTTGAAGCTCTAGTGCCTATGTGGCCTACTTTCCATCCTAGAGAAGTGTGTGACCAGCAGTCAGTTTCCACCTGGATTTTCTATTGGGAAACAAGGCGGGATGTGATACATAACTCTGGTTAGGCTGGATCACGTGAAGTCCCCCAACAGTCAGTATCCTTGCAGCACACTGCAAATGGACTCATTTTTGGGGCTGAGTTCTGAATAAATGGCTTAGACAGGAACTAGAAAAACAATAACATTAGGAACAACCAGGGTTAGAAAGATAGGGCAGGTGTGCACTCAACAGTACTGCACGTATGGGTTTTTTTTCAGTTAGATCATTGGGACCCTCATACGCTCACTATAAAATGTTTCGGAGCTGATGATAGTGATGTTGGATAAGGTGAAGGAATCAAGGCCTGGAGGTTGTTTTTAGTCCTAAAACCAGATGACTGCTAGGATGCTAATTTCTTTTCTTACCTTCTTCTTGTGGGAGGGCAGAGGCAGCTCATACAAGTTCTCTAAATTTGAAAATAAGCCCCTTCCAGCAATGAGAAGGTCTGATCAGAACATACCACATCTACTAGCAGAGAAGTACTGAGCAGGGAAAGGGGAATGTGGTGGGAACATCTTTGGCCAGTTCAGTCCTAGAACTGGGGAATTCCTGTGCCTAAGCTTTGGTTCAGCTGCTATCTGGTCAGACATGCCTTGAGGGTCCGGCCTGTGGTTTCCACCCCATTTATCTCACAGGTTCGAATTGCTGCATAAGAGCTTAGAATTACAAAAGCAAAGAATACATGAGGAAACAGGTGGATGAAGTTTTCTGGAGGGTGGTAAATGTGGCTTGATTGGATAAAAATAGCAGTGTAAAGCTTCTGGACCACTTGCCATAGAAACTTATTCAATTCCTTCCTATAAAGTCTTTTTTAAATTGACTGAGTGAAGAAGTTAGAAGGGCTTTGTGTAAAAGCTGATCACGACAAAAGGTGGAACTGCATCAGGATATGAGGGTAGCTAGTAATAGTGGAAGCAAATATTACATGACAGTGGTCCTAGTGACAGGAATCAGTTTCATGGAGCAGAAAGTGAGTTTTCTATCTACCGAAGTGCTATAAACTTCAAGGAAAAGGAAGCAGACAAGTGAACTGAGTGATCCAGAGGGCATCTCTATTAGTAGTAAAAGATGACCATTCTGTAGCAGCAGCCTTACAGATCAGCTGCGGCCAAGTATTGAGCAGTCAAAAGGATCAAGATAGTGCTTGGGTTTTCTGGCAAAGGCTCTCTCTGAAGACATGACCTGTAAAACAGCGGGAAGCTGAAAGAAGCACATCCAGATGTGTAAGGACAGTAGGCCACTCAAGACAACTTCAAAATAGAAGTCCATTTTCAGATAACTTCATTATGCTTTGGGATACAGAAACAGTGCATCAGAGATGCCATTTTTTTTTTAAGTAGCCCTTTTCATGCCTTTAATCTTTAGGTGATACCACATGTTTGTTCTTTCACTTTCTAGATGTCCAGCAGGTGACGACTGGTGGTATATGGGAGAAAAGTGTGAAAGGAAAGGCTCGACTCAAGAAAACATTGTAATAGCTGTTTCTTCAACCATAGCTGTATTTGTTGTAATGCTTATTGGGACTATCACAACTGCAGTGTGCCTTAAAAAGAAATATAGCCAAAGAAAGGAAAATAGTGACAACGTGACTCTAGAAGTAAGTATTTTGCCTTTTTCAACAATGATATATATATTTACTAAAAATAAACAAATCCAGTAGAAGTAAATTGGAGGATGTCACATTTTTAAAGTCTGAAGGCTCCAGCTTAGGAATTAAAGAGCTCCATTAAGTGCTACTAGTTTATCAAACACCAAAAAGCCACTTCATTTAAAACCTGTTCTCCTCCTCCACTCCCACCACTCTTATTGCCTTGTTGGCAGCCTACATTGAGTGGGAGACTGTGAACAAAGGGGCTCTTTTTCAATTTGTAACTAAACCCTGTCTTCCACTTAGTGGACTTGTATTTCATCTATTACTGCATTTTCTACTAAAGATCTCCCCTTAACACACCATGGTGCTAAAAAACCCAACCCAAAATTTCAAAACAAAAAGCAAATCAAAAAATCAGTTTGCCTATTCAATGGCCATTTTTTATGCAAGGAACAAAGTAGCCATGGAAATTGTGACATAAGGAGAATTAAAAGAAGACAGCAGGTTAAAACTATCTGAATTACTGGATCAGAAAGGACATGTAGTGAATAGCAGAGACATTTGGGCAGGTTTTGATAGGAAGTTTCATGAAGTCCCAGGCATCTGGACTCTTAGTTTAAACAGAGTTTTAGTCTTGGAGATAGTAAGAATGACACAGCTTAGAGGGACTCACAAGGCACAGGAGAAATTTTGTAAGCAAACCAAAGTGGAATGGCCTTCCAGAGAGCAGACTTTCATTTTTAATTTTGTCCTAATATTCTTTATGTGATGTCCTGTTGAAGTGCAGTACCTCTGTGCAATGCCAGATACTTGACACTGTTACTTTATGGCCTTCCAATAAGTTATTTTAGTTTCTTTGTAAGTAACACTCTTACATTATACACATATTTCCCTCCCCTACGTGCTTTTGAAATGTGGATTTGTTTTTTTTTTTTCCCCACTTAGAATAGAACATCCTTCTGAAGATAATGCAAACAAGCATCAAAGACACAAGATGAACATCACTGGAAAACCACAACTATGTCATCTTTCTTTCTGTTACTTTTATCTCAACCATCATGACTGATAAAGGTTGTAAAGTCTGGAAAATAATTAATAATCTGAATAAAATACTGTGCTAAAGTCAGGAAAATGTCTGACAGTGTCATGTATCGCTATGCAATGAAGAAAGATGGAAATACATTGTGTGACATGCCTGCCCTGTCCTTTAAGTCTACCTGAACATGAAGAAAACATGTAAAACTGCATCCCAACTTTCAATCAACACAGTGAAGCCCAGGTTTGCTATCTTATCATGATACAGATGCCTATAATAAAAGGGAGCTGGACCCTGTAATCACAGGGTACCCAGTGGTTCTGAGTCCTGCAACAGCTGTCAGTCAGTAGTGTGAGGGTATGTGGAGTATGGGAGTGTCTGGTTCATTAAGTTATTACGTGCTATAAAAGAAATAACAAGTAATGAGGAAAGTGATAAATTAACCACACAGACACAAAACATTAATGAGGAAGTCACAACAGAGACAATAATGAGGACCCAGAATGCTTCAGCTGCTGATTGATGGTCCATTAAAGGAACTACTCAGGCAAACCTTCAAGAATGTCAACCTGAACAAAAATCTTTAACTGATAGGAAGGGGGAAACATGATTAAGATGAGTATTATGGGATACTTCAGGTTGCTTGGGATATGGGCTATCAGAAAAGGCTTGTGGACTTATGTAAAAATGACTATGGGATGTTTAGGAGAAGGGCCAAAGGATCCAAAGAAAAGGGGAAGGATCACAGTGGATCAGAGAGGAACCAGTGTGGGAAAATTGTGCCAGCAACTGAGGAGACCAGCCTGCAAAGGAGATCTGTGTGCCAAAGACCAGAGGAGACCACAGATCTTAGGGCTTGCGGGTCTAGGGACCGGCATGCAAGAGACTGTGCCAGTAACTGGAGGGACTGCGGGCTGTATAGCTCACAGGTCTAAACCCCAGCGACTGGAGGGATTGGTATGTGTGTGTTGTATGTGTGTTGAAAGGTCCAAGTGCCAGCAGCTGGAGAAGAGGCCATGGGCACCAGGGCTGTAGGTCTGGGTGGCAGCAACTGGAGAGACCGGGCTGTATGTGGGTGTGTAAGAGGTCTAAGTGCTGGCAGCTGGAGAGACCTGGGTGTGTTTATATTTTTTCAGCGAATTTAATCCTCTGTGTGTGTATGTTTAATTCACTAGCAAACTTCAAGCTGGACTAGCTGGTGAGTTGGAGAAAACATTTCCACATCTGGAGGACTCAGACTAGAGCCAGTGGTTGGGGTAAGGGAGCTCAGCGTTCAGGCATGGCTATTAGGCAGACTGAGAGTCTGTGTTAATATTCAAGTGATCGGTGATCGTAGGAGTGCTTATGCAATAAGTGTGTGAGTGTATGCATCTGTTTCGCTAGCAAGCATCACATTGCTCTATCTGGCAAGTAGGAGGTGACCTGCATACCAGCTAAGAGGGCCCAGGTCCAGGCAGGGGTGTTAAACAGGTTTAGAGGCCGTGCTAACGTTCAAGGGGTCTGTGAATGTGGGTGTGCTTATGGATGTGGAGAATGAGGGCACACGTTTTCACCAGAGAACCTCCATTCTCATCAGCTGGAGGGGAGGAAGAGGACGGGGCTGACTAAACTTGCATGAGTTTGGGTAGCATTATAGGTGGGTGCTGCTACCTGTGCTGCTCTGTGTGTGTGCAGCAGTCCGTGCAGCCAGCCACATTAGGGACCTGTGTGTATGTGCATGTGTGGCTCTTGGATACACACTCAACCTTGCTACAGACCTGCAAGCAGGAGGAGCAGCAGCTGCATCCCTGGGACGGGGATGGAGAGATCACCTGGGACCGTTCCTGACTGGGCACGTCAGCTGGGGAGGAGGGATCCCGGGTCTGTTGGATTTGGTGTCTCTTTTAACACCTTTGGTAAGGAGGGCTACAATTCAGTGGGATTTGGAGAAGAGAGTAGGCATGGAAATAGGAGAAGGGCTAGAGGAAGTGGAGTGTACTTCCCTGAGGACACTTTGCAGAGGAAGATGGCAGTCACCACGGGCACAGATCATCACATTTGCAGTGCTTTGGAAGGGGGCGGCAAGAGACAGGAGTGCCAGTAATAGAAATGTCAGGTCACACCAGATGGTTGGTAGACTGGTATGTGAATATGTTCACATTTAAAGGTCAGCAGCTACTTTGATTCCTTGGAATGGATGTTGATGATCATAATATTTGTCATGCAATTTACCCTAACTTGGGCAAGAGCAGTTCAAATGTATGGAAATTTGATGAGGGGACTAGTCTTCCTCTGAATGCTACTGCACAGCACAAAGCAACAAATGTGTACTGACACTACATATGTAGTCCTCCTCTGATTAGTATTCTCTGAAATGTAGTTATATTTAAAGTATTCATAGCTGGTTTTATTAGCTTTTGTTGGAACCCAAAGATTCATGAGAACAGCCAGGCAAAATTAACAAAGATTTGTCAGAGCTAACAAACATCCAGGATAGGAAGATACCCTACTATAGCTGTCTTAAAATAACTTTCCTATTTTGACATGTCTTCATCAGCAGTTTTCATGCAAATAATCCTCCAAATGTGCCTTCAATTAAGATATGCACATAGATTTACATGGAGTTAAGAAGACGCAAATGAGACTGTTCATAAATTCAACCATGGCTAAAATACTTAACATTATAAACAGCGAGCATTTCATCATTTCAAATGGGAACTACCAGATTTGTGACTGCAGAGATTATTTATATGTTTTGAAATCCAGATTACATGAAATGGCATAAATACTACTTGAATTGTAAACTCTATTGTGCTTTCAGTAGAAGAAAGCTTAATACATAGAGCAATATATTACAATACATTGTGCAAGACACAAATTCCATAGGTTATATCCTGAAATGGTAAACTTCCATGGGAAAAAACCCTTAAACTTTTACTTATTCATTTCAAACAGGAATCAGCGAGGAGCACAATTTAAAACTGAATCTCCAATCAGTGAGTAAGAACAACTCACTTTTCAGTGGTATGCAGGTTCCACAGAGCCATAAGTGACTGAGGTTTTATTAATGTCATTAACTGATTTAAAAACACTCAAGAGGAAAATACATTTTTTTCAATTTTCAATGCAGAAAAAGTACTCAGGAAGTCCAACATCAGATTCAACATTGCACTTTATTGTATATCACAATTATATTACTAGCTCAAGTTCCTGAACAAATACATTTTTCTTACAAAAGCAGTACCACAACTGTCTTACAGTGATGGTCTTTTTCTGTGAAGAAAGGAGGTGAGAGATTAAAAACACATATGTGGTTCAGGAAATGAAGCATTTTAACTGGCATTTTCTTTTTTATGAGTAGATGCTTTACTTAGATTTGTAATTTAACTGCTTGATGGTGCAATGTCCCAGTAATGGTCACCTCTTGTGAAAACAGCAACGAAGATTCACCAGCTCAGGTGAATCTTCCCTGCTTTACAAAGACTTTTCCTACGTGGTTATTAGGACTGCATCTATTACTTTTAATGAAACAGCTTAATTTTGGAGATGTACATTGGACACATTTACAGATAATATGGATATTCGTCACAGATCAGATACTGCATTGGTCAGTCAGAGAGCCATACATGTGGTTGCAGCCCTTCACAGAAAGACAGGGTGTTTACTTTACTTTCCTAAAGCAGATTTATTCACAGAAATTTTTACTAAAAATCTTTAGTGTAAGCTCCTCTGCATGAAAGCACTGAGATACTAATATGGTAGTAAAATCCACCAGTGTAAAATCTGCACAGAGGGCCACTTCTCTTTCCCATCCTTCTCACACTGTGGTGATTCAGGTTATAATTTTCACCAAGGATTTGGTCTGCCTGCGTCCCTGCAGCCATGCAGATCAAGCACACTCCACTCTCCACAGATCAGGGCTTGTGTAAAAAGCCTATTATTGGGTTCCGACAACATGCAGAACAAGGGCTTGAGCTGTGGAAGTTGACTCCTCAGGTCAACTGCCCTACTCCCGTCCTTCATTCAGGTATGGGTCTCTGCTGGTACCTGGTGGCTGACCCCCAGCAAAGACCCCGGGCTTAAGTGAATGCTGTCTTCTCTGCTTCTCCTCCTCTGGGCTCTGGGCTAGCTGTACAGCTGGACCCAGCAGAGTATGTGCACATTGTATTTAGAGCTGCGTGCATGACTCACTGCTGAGTCTATCAGGAGTCACAGCATGGGCTTAAAAATAAAATAAAAAACCCCGCAACATTCAAGTCAGTGGCTCAGGTTTGGAGTTAAAAAAAAGGTCGGTTGCTGGTCTAGCTACTTCTCAGTCTTTCTTCAAGAATCTCAGCATTGCAGATAGATAGTCTTTTAGGCATGCCACCTAATATCTATGCTAAACAGTATACACAGCCTCATATTCCTGATACAGGCGAGCTAGACCAATTTCATTGCTATTTGCATCACACGGATCAGCTCGCTCAGTCTAGCTTTTGCACAAGTAGCAAATAACTGAATCATAATGTCTAATAGTCTGGCTGGCACTGCATTTTCTAAATGCAAAAAAGGGACTGATCCTAGACACTAGCTCTCTTATTTCAGCTAAGCATGTCAGGTGTCTCGTACCACCCACCCCAGGCAGACACGGTTCCAGGGTGCAGGGCGGGAGTCATGAGCTGTTGGGTTTTTTAGGTGCAGATCAGAACAGAGAAGTGGTATTTCTCCATTTTTTATTTTCCACAGTTCTCCTTTTCCAGTGTTACTAGAACTCAGGGGCTTTTGCTAAGACACAGATGCCACGTGTCAGTTAAAGTACCTTTGGTTCTCATAAATGGGATCTTAATTCTCCTGTCTACTTGGACTGCATTTTCAAGCTATCTTCAAGTGTCAGTAGTACAGAGATTCATGTCTCAAAAGGAGAAGATAATCACCAAATAAACTGCATTTTCTGAACAGTCATGCAGTCAGTTGCTATTTCTTAAATCTAGAGTTGTTGCTTAGAGACTTTCGTAGTATTTGATCCAGTAATGGCAAAATATCTGTATTTTGCTCATTTTGTGCTATGAAATGATGAAGAAATTAAATATATGGTGATCTCATTTTCCCACTTCTTCCATACATCCTAGTTTATTACAAAAGACAGCTTTAAAGTCAAGTTTTAATAATTTATTTTGTGGAAGAAGATTATGAATTTTTTTGCAGCAGACAGATTCCGTGTGGCTGCTCTCCTTGTCCTCTCCCCTTTCGGAGCATCAGAATAAACTGGAGAAAAAAAAAAAGGACCACAACAATTCAGACTGATCACCCCTCCTACTCCCAAATGAATAATTTTCTGGAGTGCATATTGACCAGTCTCCTTTGTATTAAACTTCAAAACTATCACCATTGGCACCTTTGCCTATTTTTTCATGGAGTGCTTTTTTTCCCCCCCCCCCCCCAGTCAAAGTTCATTATTTACAACATGTACACTGTAACTGGTATCATAAAGCTCACAGACAGGTTTCCATTCCAGTTTTCATCTTCATTTGCTGACAAATTCCTAAACTCCTGCCGCTTGAAATGAAATGGCCCATGCTTGATCTCTGCTTTTGACTTCACCTACTGTGAAAACAAAATGGCGTCAAAGAAGTTTAACTTGAATGTCTGGAACTTGAAAGAACAAAATCAAACTTCATTGTTTCCCGAGGTTGCAATGCTTAATCATACAATTCATAGACATGATTGCTCTTCCAGTGCAATACTCATGGGAAAAAAAGATTGTGTGTTCTTTATCAGATTTGAATCTTATCTCTAAACAATTTGATAGAACATTTTGATTAACTTCTCAATGATAGCATTTCTGTTTAGCAGTTACTAATATGTAACTAGAACCAGCCATCTTGTTCTGCTAGAGCTCTGTGTATGCGCATTTGCCCTTGATGTTTTTTTTTTAACACCATCTGGGTCCATGCAGTCTATGCTACAAAAAGCC